TTATGACCTCCATAAGTATCGATCCACAATAGGTGATTTAAGGTTTAAGAAATAAGAAATTGACCAATTATAATCGAATATGAAAAGAATAATCAACTATAATTGGTCAATTTCTTACGGTTTAAAAATTAAATACTTATTGTGGACCGACGAAAGCGATGTCTACAATGAGACTTTAAGACATAAGACTTAAGAAATTGGCCAATCATAATCGATTTATAGAAGAATAATAGATTGTGGTTGGCCAATTTCTTAAGTCTTAGGGTGCCGTCACATGCGGCGTAACTTGCGTAAGCGTACTTGTGCTGATCAATCACATCGTTTCACTTGAACATCAGATTCCGCTTAGTTACTTTATGCTATATACGCTATTATTATTACGCTAATTTTTTTGCGGAAGAAACACACACAGTGAATAATCAGAATAATCAGAGCTTTTCGGCAAAATAAATAAAGATCAAATCAGGATAAGTTAATTAATTAATATAATAATGATTAATTAAATCATCATATCAAATTAATTAATAATAAATATTAATATATATATATAAATTTATAATGTTTTTCAATGCGTGGCCTAACAATAGTCTAACAGTGGTCTAACAACTGATTAAATATTTCTATGGACATTCTACAATAATTGTAGAACATTTCGTAATTTTCAAATATCATTTCTTTGACCAGATTGTCACTGTCACTCTGTAATAATCTTTGCTTTTCTGTGTATTGGACGCATCCGTATTCTATGACGTATTTTTTTCTTGTTGATATACCATCAGTTTCCATATTCCAAACAATTTTTAAAATATTATATCATCTAATTTTCTATTGTTGAAATTGTTACATCTTTTTCCACTTTTACCATCGTTTCCATATTATTAATAATAACAGGTCAGGGTCCATAATGACTTCTGAATACATTCTCACAAATTAGGTTCACATTTACTTGACTTATTCGTACATATATTCGTACATAAAGGCTCAGTTCCCCATGAAGCGTACTTTTCCAGATACAAAAACCATTATCACAAATTAGTTTAATATTTCTGTTAGAGTACAACAGAAGCCCTAATCAGCAATTGGTATTAATTACACATTTCTCGAAATTCCGCGAAATACGCTCTATGTGAAAGAAGGCTTTCAGAATGACGTAACGTGTTTTAATAAAATAAATACTAGAATACGCAGATTACGTTTACGTAAGTTACGCTGCATGTAACGCACCCTTACATCTTAAAGTCTCATTGTAAACACCGCTTTAGGGCCTCTTTCACCAATCTTCGGTTAAGCTAATTAACGGTTAACTCGATTATCACGATTGCCAACAACTGAGAAGTAATCTATTTATAATAGATAAGTAATAAAATTTTTGTTTAAGCGAATGATTGTTTAATAATTTTTATTTACATTAATTAATGGATATTATTTACAATTTCATCTACCTACCAAAATACCTACAACACGAAAAGAATATTAGGTTAAAAAACACACACACTACTTTCTGAGCATTAATTACAGTTGGCACTCCTGCGGCTTAACCGTCGGTTAATTAACCAAAGATTGGTGAAAGAGGCCCTAAAGCCTTAAATCATAAAAAATTGACCAATCATAGTAGATTATTCTCCTATTCTTCGACTATTTGATTCGTCCACTTTTTAGATCCACTTAAATCACCTACTGTAGAACGAGATTTAAAATTCCGTTGGTTGGCGGTGCGTTATTTTATCGACGGATCCGTCTTTCCGAGATAGTTGCAAACCACCTTACTCTTTCGCAGCGTTCGCACTTCACTTCGATGGCAACAAAGATGGCGGGCACAGTGCGCGAAGCGATTGTGTGCCTCCGCTAGGCGCGTTGACGTGCCTGACGAACATCGTCGTGCAGCCCGGCCAGCGCGGGCAGTAGCTGTCGCGGACGAGGGTGTGTGAGTGTATTGCGTGCGTGCCTATGTGTGTGCGTGCGCGCGTGCGTACGTGCGTGCGTACGCGCGATTACGCGATTCCGTCGTGTGCGCGCGTGAGTTCGCGCGTGCTTGGCCGCGTTGGGTGATCGCGGGGCCGCGTTTCCGACGTGTTCCGACGAAATATGTCAGAGGCCGCGGAAGCATGAGCGAGGGAGCGGACTCGGTTGCGCAGACCTGCGGGGACACGCTCACGACCTTGGGCGACGCGGACGAATGCGGGCGCGATGCGACGGCGACGGCGACGCTGTCGCTAACGGGGCAGCTACTACCGTCGTCGTCGTCGCCGCCGTCGCCGTCACCACCATCATCATCGACACCGCTGCCGCTGTCACCGCCACCGTTGCCGTTGCCACCGCCGTCACCATCGCCGACGACGACGACGACGACGACGACGACGACGACGACCGACAGGAGACCACGTTTCGGTATCGGCGGTCCTCCGCCGTCACCCTACGTCTGGGTCGACGGTCGTCAATTGCGGAGTGCTCTGGCCTGGACCAAGAAATGGCCGCCCCGACGAGTCAGCTTTCCCTTGAGTGACAGTCACCTGGTGACCGGTTATTTGGAGCCCGCCAATCCCTGGCAACACGGTAAGTCCTGATCGTCTTTTTGTGATATGCGTGCCTCTTCAATTCTTTTATATTTGATTTTTACATCGGGTCGAGCGTTACATTACTTTTCGGAGCATGCATTTTCAAGTGTACGGTGTGTGTGTGTTAACTTAGGTTTAACGTCATCCGAAACTGTTGCTCTGACAATCTAGTATAGATTCGGTTAACAATTTGTCATTGACGTTTATGACGCAAAGGACAATTGTATAATTAATCAGAGCATTAGTGCTGACAAAGGCACTTTGACATGATCAGTTTGTGGATGTTTTCGTTTAGGATCCAAAGAAATGCTTAGTGCTTGTACAGTGCATTTGAGCATGATGTAAATTTTACCGGTGACGTAAATTGTGCTCTTAAAGCCAACAGGTTCTGTGGTGTTTATAATCTGGTGCAGAGATGTATGATGTGATAATTAATCCGATGTTCCGATGTTGCAGGATTGTTTCTGCTTGCTCACAAGATTTAAACTAAAACTTATGTTGAATATCGTTTAAAGTGAGTTGTAGCTACTTGCTGTAATGTTATATAAATTGGTTAACGGATCTGAGACTTGTAAAGCCTTGAAGCTGTAAATTGTTATTTTTGAAGATACAGCAAGAAACTCCATCAGCCATATTGAAAAATGTCTAATGTATGATGTAATGTATAAGTATATTAAAGAACTACCAATGATAAATTTGCGCTTAATCTTTTGATGAGTTTTTGTTGAATCTTTTTTTTTTTAATTTAATGAAAATTGTATGTTAAAAAGGAACTTTCTATTTAGGATTAGGCTAATAATTGTTTATCATTGGAAATATTTTTATAATATCTGAACAATCAAGTCGTTCACATGGTTTCTTTGTTCTTCAACATGGTTGCATTTTGTTACTATGCTATCAGGTTTTTTATAGACTGTGTCCCAAGCGAAAGATTTCGCAATATGAATCATGTACTAATTATAAGTTTGATGAGAGAGAGATAGTGTGTTAAAACCTATTTGATACAATATACAACAGAACTACAGCAATATATATGTATATATATTTTCTTCTCTCGCTGTAATTATTATGTAAGGAAATGATTTTTGTAAAATAAATAAATAGACGATTTTACACCATAATATTACAGACTTTTCTTTAATCTCACACTCATTCTATTTCTTTATGTGTTATACATTTTGCGATATATTACATATTTTTAATTATGTATAAATACTCTATTATACTATAAGAAATTAAATAACAAATACACAAAATATTTTATAAAAATTTCTCCTTTTCCTCTGTTTTCTAAAACATTTAAAAAAATTTTTTCTTTTTAATAAGTTCTTTGCTGTCTGTTATCTTTAAAATATACACAAATTCATATTCATATATCTTAAATAGAAACGTGACTTTTAAAATTCCTGTTTATGATTATAAATTTGTATTATTTGTACATTATGAAATAAAATTATTAATAATTGTTCCCAGCTGAAAATGTGAATCGCGAGGACTTAATCTTTGCATACAAGGAGTCTTGCGCACGTCACAACACCGAACCCTTGCAAAGTGTTTTAGTTCAACTCGAGGTAAATCCAGCTGCTTCTTATCGCCCCAAATAATTACAATTTCGTATGGACATTTTTCACGGCGTATATTAAAAGCGTTATCAAATTCACGTGTTGACTAAAGTAGTAATCGATCTTAGGAGGATTCTATGTAACATGGAAATGTGGAGCTTGTTTATTCGACGAAAACGCTGAACTAGCTGAAATGAGCTGACTTTATTTCTTTTTTTTTTATTTATTCTTCCTTTATCATAGTACTTTTTACGTTATTCGTTTTAACGATATAGCAAGACTTGTTACCAGATAAATGAAATCACGGTAGTACAATATAGCTATACTGCATTGAGGAATGAGGAAATTTACAAATTTCGACATTCAGCAAATTTTATAGGGAGAAAAGTTTTGGAGTTCATTATTTATGTGTTTTCATTCTTATTTAGAATCTGGATATATCTCAAGATCGCTGTGAAGAGCTAAATTTGAAAGGAGAAGTCTTGGATCAGGATCATACCGAACCATTGGAGGAAATACTGAAGAGAATACAGTTTAATAAGATTAATTTGGAAGGAACATCTTTGAACGACGAGGTATGAAAATATATGAATTACTTTATTGATATATAAAATACATAAAATCTATATTAATTAGCAATTATTATTACAGAGTTCTGTAATATTATTCGATATGCTGGAATATTATGAATCCGCGAGGCATATAAACATTTCGTCTAATCCGGAAATTGGAGTACGTGGTTGGCAAGCATGCTCGCATATGATTAAAAAGGTATTTATGCAGTTGATTTAAAAGGATTTTCATAAGACAATTTTATATCAAAATTAGTTTCTAAATTACTTTGATTTTTATTTATTTTCAAATTATAATTATTGTTTAGTTACATCAAATTATAATTTTGTTTAGGATATATGATAACGACATTATGTATTTGACAATATAATCAATATAAGTTTCATTTATTTAGACTCAATGTTTAGAGCAGTTTGAAGCAGGGGATATTAAGTTTGACGAACAAAACATGAACATTTTGAGCCGTGCACTACGAGTGGTTTGCCATCTGCAAGTCCTTAAATTAGAAAATTGTGGACTGTCGGGCAGAGCAACTATTATGCTTGGTATTTATGCTATAACAATTTTTCCTTATATATTAAAATATGCATATTATATCGTACGCGATTGTTTGTCTTATCATATAGCTTTATCATTATAATTTGCAAGATTGATGCGAGATTGTTAAAATATTAAAATATGCTATTATAATTAATAAAATAAAATTCAAAAATTTTTCTTCTATAATTGATCTATACGAATTATAACTCCTTGTTTTTCTAACAGTTACAGCCCTAAAAATAAATAGTGGTATACGGGAACTATATTTAGCCGATAACGGGCTTGACTTATATGACGCTATACATCTTGGATCTCTTTTAAGAATGAACAATCATTTGCAATTACTCGATATTAGGTACGTAAATGTTCGATAATTAAGAATAATTATTTTTTCAAAAATTTTTTGTAAGAAAGATGATTATGTATATATATATATATATAGTATTTTTTTTTATTTATTATTTATTAGATTTTTATGTGAATGTTTTCACATCTCTTTTATGACAATTGGTAAAAATTGTATGTATAATTGAAGAAATATAAAAATAATGTAGATTATAAATTTGCTCCATTTATGTGAAAAGCATGCATTGCTGTGTTGCATGTTTAAGCAAATAACGATGGTAGTACAGATATTGTTTTTTTGGAAATGTTTTTCCTTAGTAATAATAACGTCCAGGACGACGGGGTACGAGATATATTGGAAGGCTTGATAAATCAAGTAAATGAAGACAAAACTGGAAATGGACTCAGCATCCTGATATTGTGGAATAATCGTTTGACTAAGAAATCATCATCCTATATCTCGAGGATTATTGTACGTATCTAATAACATGTTGCTTTCAATTGTAGTATTAATAATATTTTACTGTAATTTTTATACAACTATAAATTATTAATAACGTTAATTCCTACCATAGCTTACAATTTTTCTGTTAGTCAATTTTTTAGCGAGATTATTTAATTTAATTGAATTATTAAAATTTAGTTTCGATTTTTATTAGAATTAGTATTTAAATTAGAATTAATATTAATTATATATTTTTAAATTATTTTATTATTCTTATATATGTTTATTTACCAATATAAATAAATATTTTAAAATAATTGGAATCATAACAGAATTGCAATAGTTTACATTTAACATATAAAGACGAGTAAAAAACTTTAAACTATTTTAAGCCAGTAAAAATTATATAAATGAAGCAATAAAAATAAAAAATATGCTATATGCAGCATAATTCATTCAATATTCTATTATATTTATGTTTAGGCATTATCAAAAACATTGGAGACTCTGAATATTGGTCAGAATATGCTAACGGATGAGACATTGAGCATCGTTAACGAATCTTTGAAACAAAATAGCGTTCTTCTACAATTGGGCATGCAATCCACGGAACTCACATGCGATGGAATAATCACGCTCGCTGAGATAATGGAGACGAATCAAGTTTTGCAGGTAAAGCTTTCGCTTATGTCTGGCAGCTTCGCTGTGCTATTAGTGTGTTATTCGCTTTATATCACTCCTTTCTCTCGCAGAGGATAGATTTACGAGACAACAGCATACAAATGCGCGGAATGCGTGCTCTCGTGAACATTATGAAACAGAACAAAACTATTACGCAGATCGATTTGGATGATAAACCTCGAATTAGAATAGTGAGTATCGATATTCATTTCGCGCGGTAGGTTTTACAAGAATAATCTTTATTTTAAGAAGTCTTATAACAAAATAACTTTAGCTGTAACTTGTTTAATAATTATTCTCATTTTCTTAACATAAAGGATGGTCCCTTGCACCAGTATAGAGAAATGGTAGAGGAGATTCGCAAATATTGCAGTCAGAATGAGAAACGTCGCTTACTGGAAGAGTCCACCGAGGATGCCGAAAGCCCGCAACATCCGAACCGGCTGCTGAATGCGAGTTCCCGTAAGATCTCGCTTACCTGTCAGACACTGCCAAGCCCGTCATCGCGATCGGCGACGTTGGTCGCCGACGAGCCGGCAACGCGCACCATGCTGGAACCAAAGCGCACCAGCGGAGGCCGTCTGCGTTCCCCGGCTCCCAGTCCCATTCCCTCTCCTGTGGCCAGTCCAATCCCCAGTCCGTCCCGAAATCGCTTTGTCGTGTGTCGAGTGTCGGAGGCGTCGTTGCGCTCCGCCGACTCCTCGGCGTCTTCTTCACCAGTTACTCCACCATCACTCGGCTCATCACCATCCCTCGGTTCCTCTCCGTCTTTCTTTCCTAATGCGAGTGGCGGCCCGTCGCGGTTCCGCGTGTCGGTCGTCGAGTCGGTAGGCGCCGGCTGTTCACCGCCAAAATCGGTCGTCGCCTCCTCCAGTGGCAGCTCGGTCACGATCGGTTTTAACGTCAGAATCGACGCGGCCGACTCCGACGATTCCGATAGCGCAACCAAAATGGACACGCATGCGACACAGGCCGTCAGCGACAGCACAGCCGCGTCTGTAGACATACTTAACATAGTTGCGAAATCGAGAGAAACGTCCCTAAGCGAAGACATTGCCAAGAATGAAGATCCTTGTAACGAAGAAATGAAGGGGGAGGAGGAGCAATCGGGCGTATACCAAGCTAAACCGCAATTCTGGACAGATGAGAATGTTACCACAACGTGTAGAAGTGAACACGATGCGGTAATAAAAGTCGAAGAAGAGCGATTAGTTAAAAAAAACACAACTGCGATATCGCAGTCTGAAAACAACAAGGACATCATGATGACACATGAAGATCATGGGACGGCGAGTCAGAGCAACTCTGCGATGGATCTCGAAAGCGTCGGAACGTCCGGCAAGGACATCGAAGCGTTCGGGGATTGTCGTGTCGTGTATACGAGTACAAAAGAATTACAAGTACCTGCATATCCGGACGAGGATACAGCCTCTACGAGGATTAGTGTAATCGAGGATAAAGCCTTGATAAAATCGTCCTTGGACGATATTTCGGAATCGCGTGTGAATCGAATGACCTCGGAAGAATTGTCCACTTGCATTTTGGAATCTTCCGTGAGCACTACCTCGGAAATGCCTTCGATTTGCACGACGGAATCACATTCGCGGGAACAGGCAAGTACGTCGATGCAGAGGCATAAATCCAGCCTGGAGAAACTCTTGTCCTTATTCCAGCATCCCGGGCAGTTCTTCTCGGAATCTTCGAGCACTGTTGCGGACACGAGAAGCTCTCTGCAGGAGAATGTCAGCGGAATGATGGCATTGGGTGACAAGTTGCAACAGTACCTGAAGGAGGGCCGAACTAAGATCAGCACCGACAATTCATGGTCTTCGGAATATGGATCTTCGTTGAAAAACAAATCAGTAAAAGTAAATATATCGCAGCTACAGAACTTGACTGACATATTTGCGTCTTTCAAGCTCGACCCTCACGTAGGCCTTGTCGAACATGGTAGTAAGTTCTTCGGTCAGATGAAGAATCAGGATACGAATATCAAAGAAAAGAATGTAGAAAAATCAACAGAAGTCGAGGTGAAAATCGATGAAAAAGATTTGTTTGATCAGAAGGATCAGATTACGAAAAATGATGGTAAAAATCTTACTGGGCAGGAGAACGGCAAAAGTAATTTATTTGATCAGACGCGGAATCGAATTACAATGGATGATGAGAAAGATTTAATTCTTAAAGAAAAAAATTGGAAAGTTAAAAGTGATACGGACAACCTATTTGATCAAGAAAATGATCAGATTGCGAAGAATGATGAGCAAAAGTTATTTGATCGGATTATCAAAGACGATGAGAACAATTTGGTCAGTCAGAAAGTGAATCAGGCTTCGAATGAAGAGAATAATTTATTTGATCAGAGAAAAAATCAGATTATGAAAATTGATGAAAGTGATTTAGAGGATCAAGAGAAGGAACAAATTGCCAAGGATACTAATGAGAACTTTGATATGCGGCAGATAATCCAGGTTGTTGAAAACAATGAGAATATGCGAGATGAATTTATGAGTGATGATAAGTACAATTTAAACAGTGGGGAGAAGTCTGTGGGAAACAGTGAGAATTTGGAAAATCAGGATAACGAGGTTGTGAGAATCACCGAGGAAAATTTGGTGGACATGAAAAATATGAAGGGAGAGAATACTAAGAAGGAAGATGTGCGTTGCGAAAAATTACAATGGACAGAATCTGATCTTAGTGATCGGCTGTTACCTGAAAGTGTGCAATCAAAGGACGATTTTGTTAATAATTTAGTATTAGACGGCGGCTATATTGAGCCGGACGTAGCGGTTTCTTCGCCATTGGCGAGCAAATCCACGATGTGTATATCTGTAAACTTAAAGGATGTAGGCGAATATTCTGCTTTAGAATTAAGTAAGACCGACAGTACAGGGTGTAATAACGACGAAGCTCGAGGAGAACGAGATGACACGCAGGATTCAAAACGTACGGACCGTAACCACGTTGAATATTTAAAACGCGACGATCCGGAAGGCTTAAGACACGATGAAGAAGCGAAGGTTTTAGGAAATAACGCAGAGTGTTTAAAACGCGATGACGCGATAGAGGGAGTGAATGCCTTAACGGCGAGGACATGTGATAAAACCACGGACAGTATTAATCAGACTAGTGATAGTAGTTTTCCGATTTGTAACATAGGGCATGATAGGAGAATCATAGATAGCGTAAGTACCGCGAGAGCGTCGATGAGCACGATGGGTGAAGTCGGCGCGATTATCTCTTCGCAAAGCAGCGGCGAGACATCGTCAATCTCGGTAGACGATGTCGGAACGCCGTCGGCGTTATTAAAGGACGTTAACGTAGATGATCACTTAAATGAAGAAGTTACCAGTAGTACGTGCTGCATTGCCAATCAAGATTATCAATGCGAGTCTACGAGGGAGAAGGAGGAGGACCTGGCGGAAGTCCTCGAGAACGATGCTTGCCGCGATTCCGCTGATCGTCAAAGTACAAGTGTAAATATTAAGGTAGAACCGCGCGAATCGATGATGACAAATCCGGGAAGTCAGGAGATGCTTGGGGAGCACTACGAGGGACAGTCTTTCATGCCAAATAACGTCGACGTACATCGAATTATTCTTAGACACGCGGTAGAGATCGAGAGTCAGCCGGAGGACGTCGTTGATGATGGCAGGCGGATTGACCCGACTATCCTCGTCACGCCGTACGAGACGTTCGCGAGTCTAGACAAGTCCGACGGAGAAGAGTTCATCTTCTGCATGACGGACGTCTCTACGGATGGCACGTCCATGGAGGACGAGTTGTCGCCGATCGTCCCGTCCTTCTTGCCGAACGATGCCGTCAAAGGAACGGAGTCGTACTTCGAGCTGTCCACTTCGAGGGCCACGTCGACGAACACGCTGTTGATCGAGAATCCCGAGGGCATGCACAGAAACAGCCAGGACTCCGGGATCGAGGAGGCCATTTCAACGATCGACGATGCTATCGCCGGAACGATAGATCCGCACCCGTTGCCGCCGCCACGCAGCAGCCTCCAGGAGAGCGTGGACTCCGGGATCGAGTCAGAGTGCTCGTCGATATGCGTCAGAGTAGAGCCTGCCGCCGAGCGGGCACTGGAAGTCGTGGTCTCGAAAAAGTCCTCGCGCGAGGACAACAACGATGATGCGAGTGACGCTAACGACGGTGCGGGTGACGCCAACGATGAATATGAGGAGTTTGCGTCGGATTTCCTCGTGAAAGAGGCGCGACTGGTAGACAACGACTCCATGAGCGACGATGTCGCGCACTCGTACTTCAACAGCATCAAGTGCACCGTCGTCAGCGCGACGCGGTCCGTCGCCGACGAGGGCGTCGCACACCCGGCGACATCGGTGATCGCGCACTCTCCCGCAGTCGTGCATGGTACCAGGTGAGTATATACTGAAACGCGGGTATTTGGATGATTCTGAGCCTTCTCCCCGGCTTCTTTGGAACTTCCTGGAACAAGAACCTTAAAATGCATTAAAATGCGCAGCTGGTTTATAATTTCAGCAACATAATCTCGACTGATAGAAGAAGAGTGAAATATCTCGCATCGGGAAAGATCGCTCTCACCAATATGCTATTGAAAGAGCCAGATAAAATTTATTTGGGATTTAGAGAATTGTTTAATTAAGAGGACAATGAGAATTCTTTCCGGTTCATCACAATTCCGACAGTTCAGTCAAATATTAATTCCGAAAATTGAGTTTTCTCAATGTTTAAGTGATTTTT